TATAAGCCTTGCACACAGGCATTAGCTGTCATACAAGAGAAAACATTAAGTATTCAAGATCATTTAATAAGTTGTGGTTCCAGGATTTGAACTAACAGAGATGAGGTTGTGATCCTAAGACTGTGAAACTAGTATGCTCAAATCCCCCCAACTCCAGGTGTGGGGGTGGAAAGAACTTGTATTGGGGTCTGGTTAAAACAGAGTGATGTGCAAGGGATGGGAAATGAGAGGCAAAGAGGGCAGGTGCTAGATTGCAGGATTTGAAGGGCAGCACAAAGACAGTGGTAGGTTTGACAAGGCCGTGTGAAGCCATTGCAGGGTGTTTGCATAGCAAATTTGCAAATCTGCCCTTTAGGAAGATTAATCTGAGGGTCATGTGGAAGACGGATAAGAGTCAGAGGAGAGACAGAGCCCTGAAATGAGCATGAAAGCAGTAGGAAAGAGGAGGGTGGGGTATAGAAAGCACTGTGAAACTACAATGTCTACCATTCCCCTTGTTTTCTAATCCAACTGGACTCACCAAATCCCCACATGCTCTGCTGTGCACTGCCTACCCTCCCCAATTATGCCGTGAGAATTCTGTGAAAGCAAGTATTGAAACTCTCTTGTTCTCTGCTGCAGTGCCTGGTAGAGAGAAGGTGCTCAAGAGTTCAGGATGAGGGAGTGAATGTGTGTGAGCAAATGAGGAATTTACTAACTGGAGTTTTCTGTTGAAGCAATTGGAACAAAGCATGCTGGAGGAAAAGGTGGTGGGGGAGGTGAGGATGAGCTTGATCTCTGACAGATTGAATTGGAAATGGCATGTGTACTGGCATACAGGGTTAAAATGTGCAGGTTTGGGAGAGAAGCACACACACATACATAGCTAAATAAGGACCTTAAATCAGTAGGCATAGATGAAAGGTTTCCACAGGAGGTGCAGTGGAAAGGGAAAGAGTTTGCTTGAAGAACATCTTTATTTTAATGGAAGGAAAGGAACCAACCAGCAAAGGAGAGAGGAAAGACCTGTTTGAACAGAGAATGGAGACCACAGGAGTGCTGTGTCACGGAACTCAGGAGATTTGAGTGGCTGAAAGAGGGGGAGGGGAGTCATGATCAGCATCAGATCCTACAGGGAGAGAGGGGGTGGAGGGCTGTGAAAACACTCCCTGTCTGATATTTAAGATGCCTCGTAGCCTCTCATTAGCAATGACTAGAGACAGCAGATCTCTGGTCTCAGGAACAGTAGGGCTTTACCAGGAGATGAAGAATAGGCACCGAGTACAGACTCCTCTGTCAACTAAAGAGCAGAGTCAGAGAAGTGCATGGTCCAAAGAAAGGGCTGCAGAAAGGAGGGGACCCAAGGGATGTATGGAAAGGATAGAAAGGATGCTAACGATGTAAGGAAGGTAGGGGTGATGACTGGATAAAGGAAGAGGTACAAAGAGAAAAATCTAGATTGACTTCAGCCAGGGGGAGACTTCCCAGGAGCTAGGAGAGGGGAAGTATCAGGAGTGCCCAATAGTCAGCATTCATTGTTTTAATAATAGCCACTATTTACTGAGCATTTATCATGTGTCAGACACATCCTACAGATGATTTCTAACCTTCAAACTAGTGATGTAGTCCTCCTTACAACTAGAAAGAGCCCCTTCTACTAGTACCTGATGTGGAGGGAAGTCTCCTGCCAATAAGCAAGGCTGGGGAGTAGGTTGGGCCTCACAAGTCATGTAGGGCTGTCTCAACCAAATGATTGCCCAGCTGCTTTAGAAGGCCACACTAAGACTGGACAACAGGACTTTGGAGTAGACCCAAGAAGCCCAGCTAAGCAATGCCTCCGAATTACTTGGGAGCCCTATGTAGGACCCACATGAAGCAATAGAGAGATGAGCATTGAGAAGATTCAGTCTTGCATAGATGTGCTTTGGAGAGGGGTAGCAGTGGCAGCCATTACTGAATGAATGCATGGAAGCAGAGGTGTCTGGAAAAGGAGGTAGTTGTTAATAGAGGTGGCATGCTGTTTGAGTAGTGGTTATAGAACACCCAGGAAGACCAGAAGACATGCATTTCTTGACTTATCTCTTGCCTGTTTCACCATATGCATGCACTCACATGTAGACACCTCAGGATGTAATCTGCATGAGAGCAAACCTTTGCCTCTCTGGTTCACTGTTAAATCATCACTGTCTAGGATATCAACTAATACACGGTAGGTTTTCAATTAATACTGAATAATATAAATGAATATGGGGATCTGGAGCCCAGATTAGAAGTCTAGGTGTCATTGATGTCACTGATCAATAAAGCCCCTAGAAGGGATAAGCACCCTCAAAGGAAGATTTACAAAGGGAAAAAAATCAGGAACTGAGGTCAGAGTCTAGAAAACAAGCTTATGCAAGGACAGAAAGAATAACTTGAACTAACAAAGGAAAAAGGAGAGAGGAGTTAGAAGAGACAGAAAGAGAGAAGTGAGAGGAGGGAGCGACAGGAGGTGAAAGGAGGACTGAGTTACAGAACCAAGAAGGGATGGGGTTGAGGGTCAGCAGTTCAAACGCTGTGGCATTGCTCCAGCAGAAGCCGGGGGCAGGACTGGAAAGAACATTTGGTCCCAAGAGAGACTAGCTAGAGTCTGCCGCAAGTCAAGGATGGTGCTGAGCTACAGCCCAGGTGGCCTGCCTCCCAATTTGAAACATCTCAAATTAGAGTCCTATGTCTTCCACCACCACCTGGTAATTCTTTGAGCTTTGTGTAAACATTGCGTAGAAATTCAAGAGATTCAAGAGTTCCTGAAATCACTTGATTTGTTGATTGTTCATTTCCTGTTCTTAGAAAATAAATCTCCCAAGGTCTAAAATCAATGGGAAACATCTTGAGAACCGAGCAAACTTCAAGCTCAGATTTTGGGGTCAGGGGGTTCTCTGGCTTTTACTGGAAAGCCTGTTCCTTTTTGGCTTAATGTAATTCACCTAAATATGTAGTCCGCAATAGCTACCACTTTCCCGAGCTCCCACTAAACCCCCAGGCACTTGACCAGCATCTTTTTTTTTTTCTCTTTAACTCTAGTACAAAGGTAACCTTAATTCTGCCCCATATGACTAGGAACAAACTGAAGCATTCCCAGAGATTCACCACCAGTTATTTCTGATGCCAAAACCCCTGGAAGTTTTTCAACTGCTATGTCATGATTTCCTCTACGTAAAACAACCTATTAGGTGATCTGATCATGTAAATAAGTTCTTGGGCACATATTATGAAAAATTCTCAGTCTGCTAATGATTTCTCATTTTGAAGGAAATAAGGAAATGAGGCGACCCCATCAATAAATAGCCTGTGACCTTGAACTCAATCTAGTTGCAATACCCAGCCGGGAAGAATTCTCTGCCACCATTTTCCAAGACCCCTTGTTCTTCTTAAGAAGTAATAGAGACATGAAGGCTATATGAGATAAAGGTCCTGGGGAAAAGACCAAGCCTCAGTTGACCTCCAAGTCACATAGCATTTGAGATAGCTCATGGATGAAGCCACACCAAACAGAGATTCACAGCCTTATTGATTAAAGAATCAGTGAAACAAATGGGCTGGAGAGATGGCTCAGCAGTTAAGAGCACTGACTGCTCTTGGCAGAGGACCTGGGTTTTTTTATCAGCACCCACGTGGCAGCTAACAACCATCCCTAACTCCAGTTCCAGGGGATCCAACGCTCTCTTCTGGCCTCCACGGGCATTGCATGCATGTGGTGCACTTACATACATGTAGGCAAAACACTCATACACATAAAATAAAAATAAATATGTGCGTGTTTTTCTTTATAAAAAAAAGAATAAGCACAACTCAATGGTTAAGATAGGAAATATCTAAGAGTACTGGGGGGTCAATTTCTCAGATGTTGGGGTTCTGAAAGGAATATGCGAGTGGTCAGGTCTGCCCTTCTTTTCCCATCACTCTCGCTGGGGCAGTTCTTTACATACTCTGCAATTCGAGATTCCCATCAAGGTTTTATTTTGGAAAATCTTCTGAGGCAAAACCAATAACAATAAAAATATAATAAAAACTGAAAAAGCAGTGACTTAGGGAGAACTAACATTAGTACTGTGCCTACAAGGACCTCTCTAGGTAAAAGCCCAAAGCTCCAAGATGACAATGTCCCCAACGTCCCTGTGTGTAATTCAAAATAAAAGTCAATATTATATGATAAAACAGAAAGCTTACACACATTACAATAACAAGGATTTACTTCTCTATTTGTCTGATTTCCAAAGTCTGGGTAAGAGCCCCGTCTACACTAGCTCTGCCTATTTTTTCATGTACCTGCACAAGCACAGGACCATTCATTTTGTGAACTGAACCAGTGGCCCAGACTGGCTTCTCTCCACTCTCCACAGCAGTCACTTTTGTCTCAGGGAAGAGGAAACTGGGAACTTAAAGAGGTGATGTCACTTGCTGGAGGTCTCATAGCAAATCCTGAATGAGGGTGGCATTAAACCACAGCTCTCCTAACCAACCACATTCCAATACATTAGAATATGTTCAAAATGAGGGGCTGCAGAGCTCGCTCAGCCATTAAGAGCACTGATTGCTCTTTCAGAGGACCTGGGTTCAGTTCCCAGCACCCACATGGCAGATAACAGCTGTTATCTGGAACTCCATTTCCAGGGGATTCCTCACCTTCTGACCTCTTCAGACATTGCACGACATGAGTGTACTTACATACATGCAGGCAATGCACTCATACATATAAAGTAAAAATAATTTTAAAAACTAAAAAAAAGTTTAAAGATGTTCAAAATGAAGGCTTTAAACCAGAGGACCCACAAGCTGTTTGACTGCCAGTGTGTGCTTGGCCCCTAGTAAGTGCTCAGGAAATAGCTCCCTTCCATCCCTTCCATTTCCTTTCCCCTCCTCCCTGGGCATTGAGCCTTAGCCTCAATTGGTTGTACCCTGTTTGAGACTGCCATGTGCCAGTGTCTACCACTCTGCCTGGAAAGAGGGCTTTCCATCTGACCACCAATCCTCCTTTGCAGGTGGCTGCATTTCCCCAGGGTGGGCCAGCCAGACTGCTGCATGCAAATTCAGCCACGGGCTAGGGAACACTAACCAAAGCCTGAAGGATGGACTTCGTCATGAAGCAAGCCCTCGGAGGTGAGCTGCACCACCTTGCCCTGCACACCCCAGACCCCAGCAGGAGGGGATCTCAGCCCACCTGGCCTCTCTCCAAAACCCTGTTCCCCAGCTGACTCTGCCCTCTTCCTGTCCCCCACCCCCTGCATCCTCATAGGGGCCACCAAGGACATGGGGAAGATGCTGGGGGGAGAGGAGGAGAAGGATCCTGATGCACAAAAGAAAGAGGAAGAGCGACAGGAGGCCCTGCGGCAGCAGGAGGAGGAGCGCAAGGCCAAGCATGCACGCATGGAAGCCGAGCGTGAGAAGGTCCGGCAGCAGATCCGAGATAAGGTCAGCACCCCAGAAAGGTCCCCTGAGTTCCCAACTTTTGACTCCCCTGAATCCCAGTTCCCACCTTAGACCCAGTTCTAAAGTGTGAATATTAGAAAAAAACATAGCACCTGACCACGAGGTATGGAGCTGCCGGCCCATGCCAGTTGTTCAGTGCATGCCTAGTAGCACCATGCAACAAATCAAGACCACACAGTCTTTCTTCAAGCCAGCTATGTCACCAAAATGTGGCTCCAAACATGGGGAACCGTTCAATGTTCAGATCTTTGGGGATGTCAAAAGAACAAAAAGGGGCTGGAGAGATGGCTCACCAGTTAAGAGCACCAGTTGCTCTTGAAGAGGACCTGGGTTTGGTTCCCAGCACCCACATGGCAGCTAACAACTGTTTATAACTCTAGTTTTAGGGATTCCAATGCTCTCTTCTGTCCTCCATAGGCATTATATGGGTGCATTTAGATACATACAAGCAAAACACTCATACACATAAAAAAATAAAAATAAGTTGGGCATAGTGGTGCACACCTTTAAAATACCAGCACATGGGAGGTAGAGGCAGGAGGATCTTTGTGAGTTTGAGGCCAGCCTGGTCTACATAGTGAGTTTCAGGCCAGCTGGGGCTACAGGGAGACCCTGTCTCAAAAACACCAAAATAAAAAAATTAAAAAAAATTTTTTTTTTAATTTTTATGTGTGGGCTGGAGAGATGGCTCAGCGGTTAAGAACACTGGTGGTTCTTGCAGAAGACCCGGGTTTGAATCCTAGGACCCACACAGCAGCTAACAACTGTCCGTAACTCCAATTCCAGGGGATCCAACAGCCTCTTCTGTCCTCTGTGGGCATTGCACGACATGGGTGCACTTACCTACACACAGGCAATACACACATACACATAAAATAAAAATAATAAATATAAATATTTTTTAAAAAATTTTATGTGTATGAGTGTTATGCCTGCATGTGTGTAAGTGTACCTATGTTGTTCAGTGCCCATGGAGGACAGAAGAGGGAACTGGAACTGGTTACAGACAGTTGTTAGCTGCCATGTGGGTGCTGGGATTCAAACCCAGGTCCTCTGCAAGAACAGCCAAGGCTCTTAACTGCTAAGCCATCTCTCCAGCCCCAAAAATAAATTTAAAAGAAAAGAACAAGAAGGTTTTATGGGCAAGTATGCATTTGAAAAGAGACCCAGGCGGTTTTCCCTATTAGTTACCTACCGAGGACCAGGCTCAGCTCTACACCTTTCCCAGTGAGAAACCCGAGTCTTAAAAATACTGATGAGCCATGTTGTCCAAGTCTGAATGAGTTGGAAAGCTAACGTTCTCCTTCCCCCTGCCCTACTTTGTACCTCTCTCTCTCTGCCTCTCTCTTCCCCAGTACGGGCTGAAGAAGAAGGAAGAGAAGGAGGCGGAGGAGAAGGCAGCCCTTGAACAGCCCTGTGAGGGAAGCCTGACCCGGCCCAAGAAGGCCATCCCTGCAGGCTGTGGGGAGGAGGAGGAGGAAGAAGAGGAGAGCATCCTGGACACAGTGCTCAAATACCTGCCTGGGCCACTGCAGGACATGTTCAAGAAGTAACCGGTCCTCCTACTCCAGCCCCACATTAGGATTTTGTTGTTGTTGTTCTTTCTTTTCTTCTCATTCAGTTAAGTCTCAATTCCAAAGGGGAAAACCTCAGTTGGCCTCTGCTCCCCCTCCCTAGCCAGGGTCTCCTCCCCTCAGAACTCTCTTATACCCTTCTTCACCCCAGAGTACCTAGTCCTGTTCCACTCCCACAGTAGTTTGAAAAGGGGAAGACAGCTTTACTCCAGGAGGGGGCATTCAACCCAGAGCCAAAGGCATCAGATGCCCCTTCAGAAGCCCAAGGTCCATGTTAGTGTGGTGACCCATACATTCCTTCGTGCTCCCCACTGCCAGGAGGACCACTGTCCCCAGTCAGCCAAAGTAATGACACATTCCAGCCCTGCCCAGCATGCTGACCTTTGGCCTCTGAACCCCCAGTGGAAGTCCAGGTCAGGGCAGAGGCACTGAGTGACCTGGCTCTGAGAAAGGAAATCAGAGTAAACTTGTCCTGTAAAGGCCTAGCCTGAGAGGCTCTGGGTCTGACCAGGCTAGAGTCTGCTGGGCAGGAGGCTGGGGCTCTCCTTTTTCCTCTTCCTGGTGACACCTACCCAGGACCATACCTTTCCCCAACCCCCACCCAAAGAAGCATGGCCCCTGCCAAACTGGTCCCTCCAAATGGATCCTCTTCGGACTTTAGCACACCTGTGGAGGAGCCCAGGGCAGGGCAACCCCTTGGTCTCCCTCACTGACTTAGGTCCTGGGACCCCACTGCCAGGCTAGGCCCCAGTTTGCCCAGCCAAAGGGCTGCCCCAGGCCCCCAGAAAACACTTGGAGCCATCGGGCAGTAATGGTCTGTACCATGGGACCCCCTCATTGGTACAGCCAAACTGCCCCCATTCCTATCCACCCTCCTTCCCCTCCCTGTCCTGTCCATGTGCTTCCATGTCCCCATTGTCCCCAGGAGGACTCTTCCTGGCCAAAACCCCAAACAATGGGAGAGAAGCCAGTTCCCACCTGACAGAAAGCTGCCCATTCTTCCTGTTGACCAAGAGTGAACTCCCTTCTGGGGTGTATGGGACTAGTATCTGTCCTCACCCAACATTGACAAGGCTTCCTGCTCTGTCAGTTTATGGGAATGGAGTAGGGACACAGGGGGGATGTCCATGCATACCTGATAGTGTGTGGCAGGCCACATCATGCATATATGGTTAGAATGTGGTATGGCTTGAGGTCACATGTGTGTGTCGGTCATCATACCTCTGTGTTAGATACTGTGTATGTGAGGTACCTCGTGTGTATTTGTTTGTTTGGTGTGGTGTGCTTGAGTTTCAATTATGTTCTAAGTGTGTGCTTGCCATCTTGTGTGTTTAAAGATTGCATGTGTTGGGCTATATACGCATGTATTTTGAAAATGGCATTTGTGTCATGAGGGGTAGTTACATGTTAGACGATGTGTTTGAGAGAACTGTCAGATGTGCTAAGACAGTTGTTGATGTGTGCAGGTCTAAATAGGCAGTTGTGTGTATAGATGTGTGCTTGGAGAGAAAGAACCAGGGTGAAATGCTCCCTTCCACCCCAAGACCACTAGTCACAGGGAGCCACATCTAACAAGAGACCTTACCCTTGGCCTAGAGTCCTCCCACCCTTTGGGGTTTCCTACCTGAGGTCCTCAGAACTCTACTGGGACAGACCCAGGCAGTGCCCCAGGAAGCCATGCTGGGCCCCCACCAGGGCCTATCCCAAAAGCAGGGGCCAGGGAGGGGGCAACTTGCCTGCCCCCAAAGCCCCTGTCCCACTGGCCCAGTTTGCATTCTGCAGGTTTTCCATTTTAGTAGACTTATGCTTTTATTTCAGAGAAGACATGGGTCTTCCTTGTCCGTTTCCAATAGTTAAAGCCATATAAGTTAGACTGCAATACTTTAAAAACGAGACTAAACAATCCATATGTTTAGGGAACCAGAAAAGTCCCCTGGTCTGTCCCTTCTCTGAGGAGCAGGGCCTCGGCAGCTCCAGCTCCCGGGACTTACCCTTCTCCCCGACCCCCACTGCCTTGTGTACCTGTGTCACCCCCAGGGGGTCAGTGTTTGTGTCTGTGTCTGTGATGGGGAGCCACCTTGCACCCCTGTTGTCTGCTTGTTGTGTCTTTTATCCTGGGCAGGATGGTCGCTCTCAAGAGCCTTAGAGTCCTGAGCCAGCGATAGGCAGGGACCAGTCCAGGGCCCCCAGACCTCCCTAGACCCTGAGTACAAATCCCACTTGAACACAGGGATGAACACCAGTCTTGAGATAGGTCTTCCCCTTGATGGGGAGCCTCAGACCTCAAAGGTGATGGCAGGGTACAAAGCACTGGATGGGTGGCAGAGATCAAGTCTCAGAGCTTCAAATTAACAAGCTACACAAAATATCCCAGGTGGGCCTGAAGGACTCCAGACCCTTCAGATGATGTACCTGGTGGTTTCATAACCTCTCTGGGTCCCAGAATGGGCTCAGGGCTTTTCAGCACAACCCAGTGCCCTCCAGGCTGGGCTGGCTTAGTCTGGGCGCACCTCCCAGTTTTCTCCTTTCTGTTCCCAGGCAGCAGGATTTGGGGGCTTCCAGAGGTGGAGACAAGAGGGGATCACTTCTGCCTGGCACATATCTGACTCTGTCCCCACAAATCCCAGGGGGATGTAATGACTGTCATTTCTGATGCAGACCTGCCTGTGAGGAAAAGGCTGTGGGTGACCTTGAAAGGATGCTATGCATAGCATACTCATGGGAGGACAGAACATGTGGAATGCTCATGCAGGGGAAAGGATGTCCACCTGATATGCCTGGAGGAGGTGTGTGTGACCCAAGGGATGAGAGGATTAAGTGTATTACTCAGAAATGCAGTGTACATGTGGCACACTGGAGGGAGGTACCAAAATTCACACACACACACACACACACACACACACACACGGCATGGGAGGTGACTGAAGATAGAATAGACAGAATGAGGTACAAGGGGTCATGCACTACCCACGTGAGCATGTGTAATCTTGGGGAGTCTCCAGGCTCCAGGGATCTCCATGTGCTTATCCCAGTAATGGGACAGAATTTCCAAAGTGACTGTCCTCCATTCCAGGTCCAAAGCACTGGACAGTGTCCTTGGCAACAAAGCTTCATGGGGCATTTCTTCAATGGAAGCAAGAAGTCTATAGGCCATCCCAGTCATATGACAGAAAGAGAAAGTGAAAGCAGGAAACAAACAGAAGGGTTGCAGTGCAGGGCCCCTGGGTGCTGTAGCTGTAGCTGTTGTGCAAACCAGCCATCTCAAAGGCTTGTAACTAGAGTTAAGTGGCATGACGTTCCCAGCCCCAGGAGTGCCCAGCATCCAGCTGTCAGGGTTGCCCATCCACAGCTCCACTTTTCCATCTGTCTAAGGTTCTGCCAGCCCCCGAATGTACCAGGAAGCTAGAAGTCAGAATGACTCCCATGAGAATGCCTCCCAGGTCAGAGGATATGCCTCCCAACACATGTCCCCTGCTCTAGCCCCCATTCCTGCTGCCCTGTTTCACCAGAGAGAGAACGGAAGTGCTCCTGCTTGCTCCAGGACGGGGCTGGGGAGTCCTACTGAGACCCAGGTGAGATGGACCATCCTGCTCATGTGGGGGAACCCCTTTCCCATATTTGTGCTCTGTCTTTGTTGCTCTGCTTCCTTTAAATGTGTCAGTACCTGGGGGAGGGGAGGGTCACTTCCCTCCCCTTGAACCTGACCAAAAGCCATGGCCGTGCTCCCCACTTTGTATGACGCAAATGCTAAGATGTACAAAACCAACAAAGAAAAGACCTTGTACAGCAGCTTCCATGTCTGCCCTCCTCTGTCCGTCAGCACCGTCCAGGCTAAACAGTTTCAGCCACTCACCAGTAACGGGAGATAACAAACAGCTCAAAGGACTCCAGAATTTCTTATGTCTTACCCCAGCTTCTGGCCAGGACTGTGGAAATGACCTAGAATCAGTGGAGGCCAAAGTTAGGGCTGGCCCCAAAGTTTCAGGATCAGTCTACTTTCCTAGGCCAACTCTACAACCCCAGAAGTGGGCTGTGCAGGCTAACCTCCACATCCCATCCCTCACTGCCCTTTTCTACAAGGTCCTCAGGGCATGGCATCCTGAGAATACCATGAAGGCACATTGTGTGGGCAGATGTTTATCTGTTGTTCATTCCACAACCACGGGTGGAGCATCTACTCCCCAAGAAGCCTCTTGCAGGACTCACAAAGAGGACAAAACTTGGTGTTCCTCTTGGACACAAACACACCTTGTTGAGGAGTCAGAACCAGATCAGAGCCCCTCTCCATTTCCACGAGCCCCTTACCACATACCCTGCCTGAAGTGAAGGCCCATTTTTCTCTGGCTTCTCAGCATTTCTTATTGCCATGAATGGGCATGTTTCTACATACTGATCTACCTCTTCCCTCCCATCCATCCTTTTCCCTGCCACCCCAGTCCTACCTAGAAGATGCATCTAAAATGAAAATTTCAACATGTCACTCCCTGCCCAACACCTTCCACTGGCCTATTGGATGATGTCTCCCTGGAGGACAGTATCCAAATGGTCAAAATGGACTGGTGTGATATGACTCCTGTGATCCCAACCTGCTCGATGCCCTACGATCCAGCAGTCCCCCACACAGTGCTGCATCACATTTGCATACCTTATTCCTCTGCCTGGAATGAATGGTACCCTTGCCCTTCCTTGACACAATCCTCAAGCTTCTCAAAATCCAGCTCAAATGTCACTCTCTTCTATGAAGCCTATTGATACAACTGCCTGTCTCTCGACCAGAGCAAAGTCTATTACTATACACACAAAGCATCACAGCTTTGTGTTGCAATAAAAGCCCTGGGTCTATAGGCAGGTTCTGTCACCCAGCAGAGTAATCTTGAGCAAGGCACTTAACCCCTGAGCATTTGCTCACAAGTGAAATGGGATGGTAATAATTGCTCTAACCTCCACTGTTGTGAAGAGTAAATGAGGTCTTGCACAAATGTCCTTATCACTGAGTACCAAGCACTCACTGACTACTCTGTATGCCCTATTCAAGGCTGTGTCACTGCACAGAGCTCCCTCCCTAACTGAAAGCTTTGTAAGGACAACATATTTGTTACCTCCCAGTTTCTGTGGGTCAGGAGTCTGGGCACAAGCTTAGTTGGATTCTCTGCTTTTAAAAGGCTCTTCATGAGGACTCCAGTAAGGTGTAACCTAGGCCTGGGGTCTTCATCAGAAGGCTCAGTTGGGCAAGGGTCACTTCCAAGTTCATGTGGCTACTGGAAGAATTCAGCTTCTGGCTGTTGGTTGGAGACTGTCCCCTGTTCCTTGTCCTGTGAGCCCCTCCACTGGGGCACCTCACAACATGCAGCTTGTTCCACTGGAGTATGCAAGCCAAGATGACTCTAGAGTCTGCTAGCAAGATAGAAGCCACAGTGATATATCATCTAAGCATGGAAGGACATCCCATCACTTTTGCCATGTGCTATTGGTTAGAAGCCATTACAAGTCTTGCCTGGACTTTCAGGGAGGGAACTGCCCCAAGTAAGAATGCCAGGAATGGGGGAATCACTGAGACTTCCAGAAGCCACAAAGACGGAGCCCCAAGTCTCCCTTCCTTGCAATGTATCAAGCTCCAAACCTTGGCAGCCACAGAGTCCCGGGAGGTGATGGAAGTGTCTCAACATAGGAGCAGTGGCTAGTGGTGGGTTCTCCTATGGCTTCGGTAAGGCAAAGCCCAGTCCCAGAACCATGGACTGGCCTCTGAGGGCTTGCCAAGGCTGATGACTGCAGATAAAGAGAACAAGAACTTCAGGGTCCCCTGGGAGTCCACCATATGCTCTCCTAGTTACACTAGACATTCCTCCCAAGTCCCAGCCCTCTCTCCCTCCGCCCCCAGTAAACAACTCAGCCTAGAAAGTCAGGTGTTTCCTCTTTTCCACAAAGTGGATCCCAGTGTACTTATGCCATGGTATATAAACACTGACACCCTCCTGGGTTTGATCCTAAAGTTTTTCTCCTAAGGATTTTAATCCTTTTAGTTAAATTACTCTTCTGCTACATATTTGGCTCTGTACTAGGCACCAAGAATACCAACCACACAATCCCTTTTATGAACCTGTTTGCAAAAGAGGAAACAAACCAATTGCCCACACAGCATGTCCAGTTACAGAATAAACTTAGGCACATGGTGAAGGCTCCCTGGAAGAGACAACATCTAAAATAAGTTTGAAGCAAGGAGTCAACCTAGTGGAGAAGGAGGGCAGAGCAAGCTGAGGATAGGGATGGGCAAAGACATGGAGGCAGGGGCAGAAATAGTTCAATTCAATCCACGTGGTAGAAATGAGTGGGGGAATGTGAGCTGTTGGTGAAAGGCTGAGTCTAGGGACAGCAAACTGGCACCAAGCAATAGAATTGGAGCTCTGCCTGCAGTCCACCCAGAGTTACTGAAGGATATGAAGCAGAGATAGAGAAAGAGGACTATCATTTCAGGTCAAGAAGATGATGAATTAAGAGTAGGAGGCTGGAAACCCAGAACCAGGGAGGAGACAGTGAAGCCTGACCTTTGGCAACGGTGGAAGGGTGGGATGAGCCAGGCAGAGCAGAGTGATGCTATGAAGTAATCTGGCAGGACTGAATGTACAGTGAATGGAGGATGTGAGGCAGGGGGTCTAGATCAGAGTCTGTGTCTCTGCCTTGGATGGCAGTACTCTCCAGGATATAGAATACAAGTTGTGGGGCGGGAGGGGGCAGTCGTGATTGGAAGAAGATCATGAGTTTGAGGAGTCTGGGTTTGAGGCACCTCGACAGAGTCCAGTGAGTAGTCTGCTCCACACTGGCTCATCTACAGGAAGTGAAGAAGCTTGGGATAGGAAGGGGATTTAAAGTCAAATCTCCCATGCATGCAGGAATCCCTCTGTGCCATCATCCTTGGTGGAAGGTGCTCTCATGTGCACACTCCTCACAGTGTCCTGCAGCTCATTCTGGTTAGAAAGCTCCCTTCTTTTATCAACTGAAAGCTGCCGGGAGGCAGAAGGTTAATGAAGCCTCATTCAGTATCTTCCTAATTGACTGCAAAGCCCAGCTTCCAGACCATTCACTTAGCACTTGTAATTAATTGGGATTTCTTCCCTGATCTAAGAGATGATTTGATACTGCCTGAAGACAATATTTTCTTGGTTAGGATCATCTAGCTGGAGATATCTCTGCATACCCAGCCTCTGCATGGGTGCTGACCTGCAAATGATTGCAAACTCCAGTCCTCCCTCTTTGTATGAGCTCAGAGGGCTTTGTAAGGGCACTTCCAAGCTCTAAGCACATAGCTGGCAAATGTTTCAGGCTCCATAGATAGCATCAGAACTGGCGTCCCCATCTTAGTCTCCAGCCCAAAGCATTCATCCTATCTTGAAGCAGCCCCAGGGGTCCTTAGCTCTTGGCCACACTAATTCACAGTGCACTCATTGTGAGATGGCTCTGTGTGATGTCCTATTGATATACATAAGCTGGGAGAGAACAGAAAGGCATAGGAGCCCCCACTCAGCACTTGCTATATGCCACACACAGCTCTACAGACACTACCTAACCTGAGAGCAATCTGTAAGTCCAATATTATCCCCACTTTATACATTAGAAAGCAAAGCTTGGAAGTTGTGTGACTTCCTAGAGACATATGAACAAATATCCATTTATCCCAGATAAGCTACCAACAACAGACCAAAGAATCAGTCCACCCAAGTGTAGCTTAGTGAACATATGAGTTTGCAGGGGTTATGTTCAGGAGTGTGGGCAACTCTCACACAGCTATAGCACCAAAAGGCCTCGCCTCAGCAGGAAGGACTCACAGAAGCGCTTTCCATCTCCACAGAAGAGTCTTGCTCTCCCTGCAACTGTTTGCTGCTTATATCACATTGGGGAGGGGCTTCTGAGTCTTGTAAGCTTCATGCCCTTCCCAGTAGGTTTTGTGGGGAAAATAGCTATAAAATAGAAATAGATTTATGGCTTTGAACTCAGACAAATAAGTATAATTGTGTATATCTAGTCCCACCTCCTGACTGGCCACTAAGGTCATTGAAGGATTTGATAAAATAATGTCTGTGGGTTCCCCTATTATGGTGCCTAGCACTGTACTAGCAAATATTAAAAACAAATAGTCATTGCTACTAATGCTACCATTATTACTCTAGCAAGACTACTGACCAAAAAAAACAGAAATGGAGAGGAAATGAGGGAGAAGAAATGAAAAGAGATAAAGAGAATTCACCTTCAGTCATGCAAATAATAAACTGGGAAATGGAATATGAAACCAAATCTACCTCATGTCTTTTCAGTGTAACAACACAAGACCAGCTGAGAGGCCACCAGGGAGTTAGAGGACAGAAGAGGAAAGCTGTCTTCTTCAAGAATCCCTCTTGGATCTTTAAACCAGCAATGTGTAGTTGTTATTTATCTGTAGCTGCATAACAAACACCCCCCACACAGAGACACCCCCCCAAAATTTAGTGGCTTCAAGCAGTAAACAAAAAATCTTCAAGCAGTAACAAAAATTCTTTTTGTTAAAATCTTTTAAAGATTTTACTTATTTTCATTTTATGTGTATCAGTGTTTTGCCCCTATGTATGTAAGTAGGCCACAGGCATGCCTGGTGCCTGCAGAGGCCAAAAGAAAGCAATGGATCCCCTAGTACTGTAGTTAAGGACAAGTATTAGCCTCCATGTAGGTGCGGAACCCATGTCCTCTGGAAGAGTAGTGAGTGTTCTTAACCACTAGACCATCTCTCCAGCCTCCCAACATTCTCTCTTCTTGTGAGCCAGGAATTCTGGAATGGTTGCACTGATAGTCTGCACTGGGATCTATCATTAAGTGTCCATCAAGATGGCAGCCTGGGCTGCAATCTCATCCTGAAGGTTCAACTGGGCCAGATGGCACCCCTCTGAGATGGCTCAGTCACAGTGGTGACAATCAGTGCTGCTGTTAGGAGACTGCCTTACCAGGCAAGCCTCTTTATTGAATTTCCTAAATACCATCCCAACATGGCTGCTATCCTCCTTGGGAAAGAATTATCCAAGAGAAGCAGGTGGAAGCTGCAGTGTCTTTTTGACTCAGCTTCAGAGGCCTCACACTCTCACCTCTGCAACATCTTATTGGTCACCAGACCAGTGCTGATTCAATGTGAGGGACACTTTGCAGAGCATGAATCCCAGAAAGGAACATGGCTGGGGTGGAGGTATCTTGGAGGCTATACCTGTCTCACAATATGTACCTCAATCTACCTGAAGTTCTTTCTTTGGGGCTTAGTAAACATTCCTTCATCAATCCATGCATTCAGCAAACAATTTCTCATTCCCTCTGCCTTCAGCAAACCTCCCCAGGAGCCTTTCCTGTAGCCATAACCTAGACTAGGTACTGCCTTTTAGACTTCAATCTGCCAGGCTCATGGGAGCTCACAGCCTGTACATGGAAACTGGCATACAGCCATGAACCAAAAGAAAATATTTGGATTTTTTTCCAAAGAGCTTTGTTTGGAATTTCAGAGCCATTCAACCTTGAGCACTTCATTTCTCCCCTCATGGCCTCCATTAGAAAGGGATAAAACCTGCAATGCCCAGTTAGTCAACAAATGTATTAAAGTGCCTGGAACGTAGCAAGCTCTTAAATGATAACTAAGACTGGGCCAGGCATGGTGGCTCATGCCTGAAATCCTAGCACTCAGGAGGCTGAAACAGGAGGATTGTGAGTTCAAGGCCAGCATAGGCTACACAGTGAGTTCCCAGGCCATCATGGGCTACATTGAAAGACCCTGTCTCAAACAAATAAACATAAAGACTATTAATACTATGATTATAAATACATGTAGATTGTACTCCCCAAACCTTGGGAGAGAAGGCTGGGTTCTTAGACCCAAAGCTTCAGCTGATGCCTGCCACCTCCTCCCATAGACTAGCTGAGCCCTGCTTTGGCTCAGACAGCCCCAGGCTCCCTGGCTGCCAGCCCTAATCAGC